TGACCAGCTCTGCGTGTGTGCCTTGCAGGTGGAGGGGAGGGGCGGGGGTCAACACCGACGCTTCCCCACGCCCCTCCCCTGTGGCCGTGCAGGTAAATGTGGGGATGGGAGGGAGGCAGCACTGCCAGTCGCTGCCACAAGGGAGAGTATCGGGGTGGGCTTGGCCTCTCAAGGTACGTCAGCCTCTCCTCTCTGCCCTCATCCCTCTCCCTTATAGCTTTTCGGGTGTTCGTTTTTCGTCAACTTCTGGTCATGCCAGCTCACTTTCTCTTTACTCCCCTCTTATTCTTCCCCCCTACCAGGTCTCTTGGCATCGAGTGAAGATGGAGCACTGCCACTGGCTGCCACAAGGGAGAGTATCGGGGTGGGCTTGGCCTCTCAAGGTACGTCACCTCCCCTCTCTGCCCTTATTCCTCTCTCTTTCTCCTCTTCAATTCTGCTGTCTCGTTTCTGTCAACTTCAGTTTTGTTTTGTTTTTATGGTCATGCCAACTAACTCACTGTCACTCTCCCCCCTTCGTCCCCCCCTACCAGGTCACTTGGCATCGAGTGAAGACCGTAGCAGAGAAGCTGAGTAGCAGACCGGCAGCAGCAGTTGCAGCAGCAGCAGCAGCAGCAGTAGCAGTGGGGGGTGGAGGGCTAGAGGGCAGGATAGGCTAGGTCGAGTCGTGAGCGAGGTGTGGTATGGTATCAGGTGAGGTAACAGGTGAGGTATAGAGATCTGATCCCCTCCACCTCTGCAGCCTGAGAGGGGGAGGGAGCACTCGAGCATGGGCGGGACAGCGGCATCTCTCCTCTCATTCCCCCATCCTCCCCTTTTTCACCCCTTGATGCAGTCAGAGGAAGGGAGGGAGCACTGGAGCAAGGGCGGGACTGAGGCAACTCTCTTTTCATCCTTCCCCCCTTCCCTCTCCCTCCCCCCTCCCTACTTTCCAACACGGCTGAGGCTTCATGGCGCTACGCAAGGTACGTAGAGGTAAGCAGGCATGGGGTGAAGGGGCACGAGAGGAAGGGGGAAGCGTGGGAGCAAGTGGGCAGTTCACTTCCTTAGGGGCAGCACTCTTTGAGGTTGTGTCTTGTGGGTCGTGGTGTGGTGGGTGGAATCTGCGCGGCACGGCACTCGGTGCTCAAGTAACTAACCTGACGTTAAGGCTTAATGGGCACCGTCAGAGTCGACCGGCCGGCGACTCTGGTTCGCGTCAGCTCTAGCTACGTCAGGGGCAGGATTTGAGTCTTGGGCTGGAAGCAATTTTCCACTACCACACCTCGCCCTTCAAGGCACAGCCCCTGGGGGTGCTGTTTCCGAAGGGGAGTGGGCTGTCTGCTGCTCCTACTGCTGGCAGGTAAGGTGGGGAGGGGATGGGTGGGCTGTGTGGTGATGGTGGTGATGGGGTGATGGTGGTGAGAGGCAGTGAGGTTGGCGGTGGCATATGATGAGCCATATGGCACTGATGCCACCCTTAAGCATGGAAGCATGATGCTCATGCTTGGCTGGTTGGGGGCACATGATGAGTTGCACTGATGCCACCCTTAAGCATGGAAGCATGATGCTCATGCTTGGCTGGTTGGGGGCACATGATGAGTTGCACTGATGCCACCCTTAAGCATGGAAGCATGATGCTCATGCTTGGCTGGTTGGGGGCACATGATGAGTTGCTTAAGCATGGAAGCATGATGCTCATGCTTGGCTGGTTGGGGGCACATGATGAGTTGCACTGATGCCACCCTTAAGCATGGAAGCATGATGCTCATGCTTGGCTGGTTGGGGGCACATGATGAGTTGCACTGATGCCACCCGTGCATGAAAGCGTGAGGAAGTTGGTGAAAGGGACTGAGTCTCCTTGGGTGGGTGAGAGCAAGTGAAAGGGGCTGAGTCCCCTTGGGTGGGTGAGAGCAAGTGAAAGGGACTGGGTGGGTGAGAGCAAGTGAAAGGGGCTGAGTCCCCTTGGGTGGGTGAGAGCAAGTGAAAGGGGCTGAGTCCCCTTGGGTGGGTGAGAGCAAGTGAAAGGGGCTGAGTCCAATTGGGTGGGTGAGAGCAAGTGAAAGGGGCTGAGTCCCCTTGGGTGGGTGAGAGCAAGTGAAAGGGGCTGAGTCCCCTTGGGTGGGTGAGAGCAAGTGAAAGGGGCTGAGTCCCCTTGGGTGGGTGAGAGCAAGTGAAAGGGGCTGAGTCCCCTTGGGTGGGTGAGAGCAAGTGAAAGGGGCTGAGTCCCCTTGGGTGGGTGAGAGCAAGTGAAAGGGGCTGAGTCCCCTTGGGTGGGTGAGAGCAAGTGAAAGGGGCTGAGTCCCCTTGGGTGGGTGAGAGCAAGTGAAAGGGGCTGAGTCCCCTTGGGTGGGTGAGAGCAAGTGAAAGGGGCTGAGTCCCCTTGGGTGGCACATGATGAGCCGTATGGCACTGATGCCACCTGTTGCATGAGAGCATGATGCTCATGCTTGGTTGGTGGCACATGATGAGTTGCTGATGCCACGTGTTGCATGAGAGTTTTTGGTGGTGAGTGGGAAAGGGGGATGGGGGCTGGGATGAGGGCTGAGATGAGGGAGTTTGGATGGTCAGGTGTGAGGTGGTGGGTAGTGGGAGGTGGTGGATAGTGGGTGGTGGGAGGTATGAGGTGGTTTGGATGGTCCAGTGGGAAGTGGTGGGTAGTGGGAGGTGGTGGATAGTGGGTGGTGGGAGGTATGAGGTGGTTTGGATGGTCAGGTGGAAGGTGGTGGGTAGTGGGTGTTGGTGGATAGTGGGTGGTGGGAGGTGGTTTGGATGGTCTGGTGAGAGGTGGTGGTGGTGTCTATTGTGGTAGTGGGTACTGGTGGTGAAGTGAGTAGTGGGACGTGAGAATGGGTTTAAATGTGAAGGGCAGGATGAGGCAGAATGGGTTTCAACCCTATGGAATGAGTTGAAACCGCTTGGGTGGGTGAGTGGCAAAGAGTGGGGCTGAAACATTTTGGGTGGGTGAGTGGCAGGTGAAGGTGGTGGGATTTGGTGGATGTGTGGATTGGTGGCATGTGTTTGGGGGGGGGATTGGTGGTTGTTGGTTGGGGGTTGGGTGTGTGGGTTGGATTGATGATTTCAGTTGGGTCGATGGGCTAGTGAGCGGGTGTGTGGGTGATTGGGCGAGGGGTTGGTAAGTGGGTGGGTGGGTTGATTGGCCTGTGTAGGCTGGTATTGTGGGGAGGGTAAACTGAGTGGTGGGTGACAATGCCATGGCTGAATGCCCTGGGGTGAGTGAGTAGAGGAGGCTGATACCCCTGGGGTGGGTGAGTGGATGGGGAGAGGGTTAAAGAGCCTGTGGTGAGGGTGAGTGGAAGTGAAGGGGGCAGAACGCGTAAGGTTGGCAATTAGGGGGTGAGCCCAGAGCTGTGCATGGTGGGTGGGCGGCAGATGGAGTGGCAGTGGCTCCCTGATGCCTGCAGCACTGTTCATCCAACCATCCTGATCTCACTTGCACTTCCCAACCCCACCTTGTGCCATTGGTGAAACTCCCGTGGGCATGTTTGAGCTGCTTGCCATGGCATGGGGGCAATGGCAGCCGTGAGACACAATGAGCCCTGCATCACTTTGGGCAATGGCTATGGTTGTGAGTGTATGAGGATAGAGGATAGCAGGCAATAGATGGAAGGTACAGACTCTCATAGGATAAGCCATGTGCGACAGCTACGGTTTTAAGAAATGCATTTGCTCCTTTTAATGTTCAGTTTGTTTACATGGGAAAGAATTGTACCTTCCATATTATGCTATGCTCAAGGCCCAGCATTGCGGAGGGACTTGTACCAAATCCTGACTCTTGTCCTGAAAATTACGTGGTGATGCAGCTGATGTTTCCATGTTTCATGTTGTAATATGCTGAGTCATACATCAGACGTACTACAAGTATTGCACTTGATATTATGCAGCGAGAGGGATTGTAAATGAATGCCAATGTATATTTGGTGTAGACCTGGCTGACCAGTAAATCTCCGTTTTCAGGGCTCCGATGCCCGATCGGGAATCCTGATCATGTATGTGGCTGTTGGAATAGACGTGGAGTTCGTTATTGGCCGACTAGGAATATGCTGAACCAAAAATTAGGGCGCGTTCCTGGCTGGTGTCAAGCTTCGGGCCTTCCCGGGAAGACCCGAAGCTTTGGGTTAAAGTTCCTGTCAAACCTTGTGTTTTCCGGAAACAGGGGCAATTTTTGGCCGGAAGACCCGAAGTTGGTCTCGGATGACCCAAAGTGGGTCTAACTTCCGGTCATCCGCGGATGACCGGAAGCTTGACACGCGCCAGGAACGCGCCCTTATTCTTTATTGGTTACGGTGAAAGATTTCGTCGCTTAGCATATTCCACATTCCAACTGACCCTGGAATCTGCATCCCCAGCCTCTCGTCCCTTGGGTTTCCCCCACAACGCCCTCGAAGTTGGATTCCTTCCACGCCCAACCTCCGTGGTGCCGCCCTTGGTGTTCTCATTTTTAGGGCGCTGTGGGAATCGTGACTAGTCGTCAGTACACAGGTATGGTCGCCCATTCCTCCGTTCCCTCGGAAGCTTGATGCTTCAGAGCGATTCTACTTCGCTGATCACACCGTAGCTCGAGAAGCTTGACGATCCAGCTTTCGAGCTGAAACCATGGACTTTTCCAAGGCAGCAGGAGTCGCTGCTATCCTCATCTTACCTTCCACTAGGGAGAACGTGAGCGGCACACCTTCAGAAAAAGGGTCATGGAAAGGCTGATCAGTGCGCGTACACGACAAGACCATTCTTCACGGTGACTCGCGGGATCGGCGCGACGATGTCGGCGACGTTCCTTCTCGAGTCCTGTCCCCGCTAGTAGACGCGCTCTGCTGGGCTCAGGAGCATTGTCGGCTAATGCTGACGGGAGATTCACAACTGTCCGTCGAATTTTCTTTCATTGTGGCAGTTTCAAGCCTTCTATACCTGGCTGTCTCGTTCGCCTTCTTGAAGCAAAACAGTTTTCTTCTCGCGGTGATGTTTTTGCTGGTCACGATCACCAGCCTTTTCTCTGACAGTCTATGCTCCGGGTCCCGGTTCTGGTGCTCTACGGACCGCATTGTGGCAACAGTGTGTGGTACGTACGGTACTCTTGTGAAAGTTTGTTCGTTTACCTTTTACGGTATTTGCAAGCTTTTAAATATTGTGGCCTGTGTTTTGCGCAGCTATATGGTGTCCTGGACGGGCGATCGCATTCTATGCAGAGAACTGCTTTCATGCGCTCCAGATTGCATCACTATCAATGTTCTCCGTTTCATTTTTGGCATGGAGCAGAAAATCGACCACCCAGAGTCAATATGTATTACGGCACACATGCTGGCATATTGTCAGCTCCGCAAGCCTAGTTTGGCTGGCATATAATGTTGATTTCTAGTGTCAATAGACCCATTCAGTTGTGACAGATTTGACAGTCCTTACCAAGTGGAACCACTTTGGTACAAACAATGCTTGCGCTATTGTAAAGTTCATCTTGTAAGAGCTCCAAAGCGGCTATCCCAAGCTGCAAATATTGATATGCGAGCAAACATCAGAGGGTGTGAATCATCCTAGCTGCGTCGAAGCAATGGATTGCAGCAAGGCGTACACGCGATCGTGGTGGAGGATGAGCGTGAGCATCCCTAAAACCATCAATATCTTTTTCCAGCTCCAACAGACACCTTTCTACCATGGCCTCGCTTGGACGCCACTCCTCCTGTGCTTCAATACCCTGAAGACCACAAGGGTATGAAAAGGGTTTCAGAAGCAAGATTGCGTAGACGATTATGAGCACGACTGATCACGCTCAGAAACGGGAACCAAGACACACGAATATTTGGAGTCTGGCAATCCGGGATACTTGATTGTTGAACGCAAAGCTTACGTGCACAGGATGTCCCAGCATGGCCAAAAGCCCGACGTGAACGCGATCCACCACCATTGTCCCTGCGGCTGCCAAGCTGTCCCCAGTGATGCCAACGTCGCCGCTGCTGGCTCGCTCAAGCACGGATCCGTATGTTCGAAGGAATGAGACCATGGCGTCGCCCGTCGGGACAACGGGAGTTGGCTCGGTATCAATCGGATCCGTGGCTCCTGGTTGCTCGGTCGCTGAACGAACGGGACTGGCTACGGCACCTGCGAGGACACAATGAAACAAGGGTGAGCAATTCTTACCGGGAGAGGGGTCTTAAGATCCATACTCCCGCGGACAATCTCTCTTGTACGCCGGTGAGAAAACATGATTGGTGAGGGCCTTACGTGGCAATGTAGCTGCTGGCGCCGTTGTGCCGGCATTGGATGGCATGGATGTCGATGCAGGAAGTGGCTTGAAGCACGTGGCGAAAGGCAGCGGCGATAGTCGACTCCGTTGCTCTGGTGCTTGCTGAAATGGCATTGCTTTTAGAGCTTCAGCGGCGGACCCCGCTACAGTGCAACGGAGAGACACGACTGGCGAAGCCATTGTGAGGGACTTACTGACGATTACTGAAGGTTATGTTACCGGGCTAATCACGATTCAACCACAATCGAGAATGACTGCTCAAGTAGCGACAGCTAGGTGTATCCAAGCAACGGCCCTTCCGTGATAGCAGCCTTGCTCTCCCTAGCTGAGTACCGAGCAGCCTTTCTTCGACTTGTGAATCCGTGACTGGGTTTGAAACACCACCCGACGCTCTCTCGTCTTTCCACTTGGTGACCGCCCTGATCACTGAATGTCCGCAAGGAACTCCTTGCGGGCACGCTCACACAGCGGCCCCCACGAACCAACTTGCGCCCTCTCGACTGGACAGCAGGCCTCCGCCTGCAGGGGATATCCGCATTGTCACTGCTGCTTTCACCAGACCACCTTTCGCATAGACGCGCAGTGGCACTTCCTAGTTCCGGGGCATGGCGGATTGGGTTGGGCTCGGGGTCGGGTTGGGTGGGGGGGTCACATCAACATCCCCCCCAACCCACCCCAACAACACTGTTGTTGCGGACCCGAACTCTGTGGACAGCTGTCAAGGTATGTGGGTGAGAATTGTCCCAACGATTTCATGGGGCTCTTCAGGGCACTGTGAGGTACAGTCTATTCAAAGATTGTGTGGCTGACGCTCTCCCTCTCGCACACGGGTGTGTGTTTTCGATGCAATTGGTTACCAGCGCGAAGCGACGGTGGGGACCCATTAGGAGACAGGTCAATGCGTGTGAGGAAATCGATGTTTATGTGGAGCCCCCCGGACGGAGGATGTCTGCAAGGTACACTTGGAATCCACAGAAGAAAAGATATAGGTGATGTCAGCAAAAGGCAAAAAATGCACATAAAACACAATAATATTAACGTCATAATTTTAAAACCAGATAGAAACGCAAGCATATATTGAAATCTCATCATAGTAATGAAAACTTAGTCGCTTCTATCTCCGTATATTGTGATCTGCCAAAAAATCACAGTATACACAAAATTTAACGATAAGTTTCTTAAAGAAAATTCTTAACGCTCTTACGAGTTTAAGCAAACTTATATTGTCACTTTTGTGCCTTTAGTGTGGACCACATTTTTTAAAAGTATAACGAAGCATGTTGTACCTCCCTCTTATGTCAATTCCACTAAGTGCATCACACCGACTGGAGGACTTGATCCGATCGGTGTTTGGGGTTGGTGGGTGTGGCAGCTTCCAGCATGGCGAGCCCTCGGGGCACCACTCGTTTCACTGGTCAAGCCATGCTGTGGTGGCAGTACGTCCCGCTACTGGTCTTTCAAAGGTCTCCACGTCAGGAAAAGCATATGACTGCTCTCTGCCCAGACGTCTTGGGGGGTAGTGCTGCTGCACTGTGCCTGTAATGACGTGGTCATTGAGGTGGAAGGTTTTGTGGATCAACGCGGAACAGAGGAGGGTCCTCGGCGAATCGACGGTTACGCGTTGGTGGAGCTAGTTCACTTTCGGAGATGAAGGGTAGGCTGAGTCATACGCACGAGCGAAGACATCAGCATCTGGATAAAGTTACGACAGTTATCGCAGAGATTTTCGTCAATGCATTACGAGGTCGGATAACAGTCGTCGTCCTTTGTCGCACACCTGTCAAATTCGGCTCAAATCGTTCAAGCTCTCCTATTCGCCGGCGAGCCTCCACTTGGGCCAGCACAAGACCAGAGCACTTTTTTTTGCAGGCTCGGCGCGGATCAGATCCAACTGGTCACTGCGTGCGTGTCATGTCAACCACACCACACCAAAAAGGCCACTTCCCCCTTGACCCGAATTCGCATCCAGATCAAGCCACCTTTTTCAGAAACGCTTCCCGTTCCCAAATGGTTTGTTCCACCATCATATTTGCTTAACGGTTTGGGGGAGGACTGTTTGGTAATGCATGTAAGCCATTCTATGGTAAATAACTACGCGGCAGCACTAAATAAACAGTTGTTTGTTTCGCATACTGCCCACGACTTCTCTCCCTGCAGTCAATCTGTCACTTCATCCACGCCCACACCACACCCACTCCCCTCCCCTCCCCTCCACCACACATTTGCCTTAGCAACTAACCTGCCTCCTCGCATTCCCTCTGCATTCCATTCCCTCCCATGCGCCCTTCCCTTCCCTTCCCTTCCACTCCGCCATTCTCGATGCTTTGTGAGAGCCAGTGAGCTGACCACAACAGTACCCAGTCCGCCAGATTCCGTTGCGTTGCGAGCGGCATTGGCTCCGATTTCACCTGCCTTCCTGCGTTTTCTCAACCACTCGGGAGTCTCGCTGCTCAATCCTCACATTCCCGTTTCCCTCCTCGCAACATTTCGTCTTCCCCGCACTCGATTATTCGGCTAAGCCGACAGGTCAAGTGAGGACCGAGTGAAGCCGAAGCGCGAGGAGCCGCGAGGATCGTTGCGATCGCCGCTTCTGGCGGTCGCTATCCGCTCTATTATTATATTCTTGTGACGAATCTGGGTCTCAGATCCTGCGATATTCCACCAGTTATCGCGTCTCTCCGTCATGGACGGCCCGTTGCTGGGCTGTCGCTCAGCCGTCAATTCCGCCGTTAACCCCGTCTCCCTATCGGGCGGCCCCACTGGCCTTCCTAAAATACCTCTACGTTCGCCATTCGTAGACTCATCGTCCTCCCATGGCTCCTTGATTCCCGGAAACTCGAAAATCAAGATCCCTGCACTCGCGTCGCCAATCTCGTCTCACCCGAGGACACGCGTCACAACGCCACGCGCGGTGCTGTACGAGCCGCCGTCGTTCCTGCGCGACTCGGCGATGGTGCGGCGCATGGCGGAGCGCGATTTCGGCAGCGGACACGGCGTGCTGTACGACACGCCGCAGCGCGGATCCGCGACGCCTTTCGGCGCGACGGCCGTGGACAACGGCGTGAACTTCGCCGTCCACTCCTCGGGAGCTACCGCCGTGTCGCTCTGCTTGTTCACCCCTGAAAGTCTGGCGCAGGTAGGGAGTAAAAGCCATGAAAGACAAATCGCTGGCAGGCAGTAGGTGTTGTAGCGTGCTTGCTCCATGGATTTCAGAATCCTTCGCGATGGATCGCGATCCTCGGTGCTGTGTGATTGGCGGAGAGTCGTAATGGCAGCTGATTGACAATTCAAAGGCGGATTTTGACGAGCGTGTACCAATCTCCAACAGAAACCAAGGGGTAGGGTGATTGAAAGACAGACGCAGCGAAAAAAAAGTGAGGGATAGGACACGAAGACGCTCAACCGTGGCAGCGCTTTTTCTCAGCAAAGCTATAATGCGCCTGTACTCTCCATGTCGAAAATTCCATGTCAATTGTAAAATGTAAAAATTCCGCGTCGAGTTCTTGGCTTTGAACCGTGTCGAATTTTCCCCAATGAGTGTCCCGCGCGGCATCTTCCAAATCTCGCGCTTCCTCTACCCTCCATTGCCCCCCCTCTGCCCTCTCCGCCACTGTGTCTCCTCCCCCTGCCGTTTCCCCCTGCCCCGCGCCCTTCCCCGCTCCCCTCCCCGCTTCCCCCTCCCCGCTTGCGCGTTCCGCCTCCGCCAGGGCAAGCCGAGCGCGGAGGTGCCGCTGCACCCGATTCTGAACCGCACGGGCGACGTGTGGCACATCATGCTGCCGGCGCTCTCGCGCAACCTGCTCTACGGCTACCGCATCGACGGGCCCTTCGAGCCGCAGAAGGGACACCGCTTCGACGCCTCCAAGATCGTGCTCGACCCCTACGCCAAGGTCGCTGCGCTCACCTGACCTCCCTTCGCTGACCTCCCTGCGTGCCGCCTGCCTCTCTTCCCCGCCCTGCCTCGTCCCCATCCCCCCTGTGTTCCCCTCGTCTCTTCCCTCGCCTCGACGCCTCCAAGATCGTGCTCGACCCCTACGCCAAGGTCGCTATGCCGTGTCCCGTGACTGCCTCTCTTCCTCTCTCCCCCCCCGGCCTCGTCCCCTTCCCGTCTGTGTTCCTCTCGTCTCTTCCTGAGTTTTGAGTCGCCTCCAAAATCGTTCCTACGCCAAGGTCGCTGCGCTGCCCCCTGCCTCTCTTCCCCCTCCCCCCCGGCCTCGTCC